AAGAAGAAGAAGAAGAAGAAGAAGAAGAAGAAGAAGAAGAAGAAGAAGAAGAAAGTTTTTTAAAAAAGGTCACGTGACACTGTTTACCTGTCTTCCCTCCCAAGCTGATTGAGCTGAAGCACCAGAACGTCACGGCGTTTGTCGGCGCATGCGTGGACCCAGGCCGGATCCTGTTGTTGTGGGAGTACTGCCCTAAGGGAAGTCTGCAGGTATGTGGGTCATGGTGGGTGGTTGGAGGGTGCCACTAGAGTATGTGTACTGTTGTTGTGGGAGTACTGCCCGAAGGGAAGTCTGCAGGTATATGGGTCAATGTGGGTGTACTTCTTCTTTTTATCTTTAACAAGTTTGTAATGTCTTACAGCAAATTTGAAGGTGCAATGCAATTGGGTTGTTGTTGTTTTTTGACAGACTGAACGTTGAAAGATGCGTGAAAATCAAATACAAAATTTGCAATTATTCATTTTACAACTTCAAGCAACATGTGGGAAAAATATAGAATCATATTTTATATGTAAAAGTTGAAAGGTTTTCTAAAATATTAAGAAATAAAGGAAATAATCAGTTTTTTGCTTCTCCTGTAAAATCTGTCAGTGGCGCTTAGGGGGTTGGTGCACTACGGGAACGAAATTCATGCTTTTTCTTCGAATTGTTTACCTCGAATACAACTGGGTTTTTTTACTCGAATACAACTGCTTTTACCTCGAATACAACTCTTTTTTTAAAATCTCGAATACAACTGCTTTTCCCTCGATTACAACTCTTTTTTTTTCTCGAATACAACTGTTTTTACCTCAAATTCCTTTTCCCCCATGTAATCAGAAGCTAATGGAGGATGAATCTACAGCTTCTTCCTCCTGGCCATTTTGACATTTTGTTCTGTTTGACCCTTGTGACGTCAGCTGACCATACCCCTCTGTCCCCAGGACATCATCTGGAACCAGAACATCAAGCTTGACCAGCTGTTTAAGTTCGCTCTGTGCCAGGATGTTGCCAAGGTAGGCGGGACGATATTTCATTTACCTTTATTGAGAGTTAGGGAGGATGACACAATAAATTCGTTTCAAATTTGGTCTCTCTTTGCAAGGAGAGGGAAGTGGATGTGTGTCTCAAACTCTGAGGACATCCTGGTATTATACAGGACTATGGTCACTACCCTTTAATTAAGTCTCCCCCTCTGACCCCATCACTTC